ACTAGACCACAGCAAACATTCGTAAAAGTGAGGACGTATTCATCGGAGGCATTGCACTGGCAGCGCGAACACTCATTTACCCTTTACGCGGTAATCAGATTCGCAATACTTATTGTACTAGTGTTACATCAGAAATTTACAACTTCTCTATGATTCAGAAGTAAAACCTTACTATAATTCAAAATTAATACATACGATCCGCGGTTCTCTGGTCTCGTCCGGTTAATAAGCTTTTTCATTATTTCGGTAGCCTTCTGTTACCTCGAAAACTTTTGCTCACCTCTTGTCCGTCGACAGAACCAGTCCTGGTGTCAAACTTGATGTCAATTGCAATCGATGTTGTCAGTTAGTTACAGTACCATTCCTTCGTTAGTAGTATAGTCGGATATTTGAGTCAAGTATAACTATTAAGTATCCTTGCAAGGAAAAACGTTACATAGTCGGCACGAGCGCCATTGGATTAGTTGAGTGTGATCACGACATGCATGGGTCGCTCTGCGCTGCTATGCCGAATGAACTGCTGGACAGCCTTCAACACTCGGAGGTAACTAACGTCAACATTTAAGAGACTACCTGAAGTCACATCAGCGACGTGTCGACTTCACGTCGTCACCACGTCCAACTCGGCCTCAGGTCCGTCACTTGGTGGAGTTCAGGTGTGCTCCTGTGTCAGTCCCCCTTGTTTGTTTGGCCTCTGCGGCCTCGATGGCGTGTGTGATCCAGAGTATAACCTGACGGTCTCATGCAGATGCACTCACTGGCCGCCCGCTCCTCGTACCTCGGTCTCCGTCGACTCTCCCGCCCGCCGCTCTCTCTGTACATTATGCCATGGACATTTCGGCACTCTCATACACGACGTGCCTCTCACCTTCGTGTTGGTGGGTCTTCTTGCGTTTGACTGCCAGTGTCAAGGGCACTCTTGACCTAGCTCAGGCGCCGACGCATAAACTCGTTGGACGTGCCTGTGTTATGACTGTGCTAGTAATGTCATTGTCAGTTTGTGTTACATTTTGATGCTCTTTATTTTCGAGTGTTTAGCTGTTGGCGAGTTCGCAGTTGCTAGATGATTCTATGGAGCTAGTCTTTCGCTCTGATAGGGAGATGCGTACTTATACGATTAGTTATTGCAAAGTCGCATACTGGAATTTTTTTTGGCAAAACTTCTGGGTCTCGACTTGTACAGTAGGGAGACTTAAGGTACGGGGAATACAGATGTTGCTTTTTGTTCATAGTATAGCACGTAGTGTAAAAATTAACGTTATCAGTTCGTTCAAGGATTCGTGTTTAGCTGTTTTTTTTTTCTGGGACGTTACTCAGCGGCTTAGGTAACATTCGCACAGCTCGGTACGTTCTTCGTGGCATCAACTCAACGCAATGAGGTGTTCAGGGTCTTGATTCGCGGATGATCAGTTGTCATTAGTACAGGATGCGGATTGTAGTTCTAGACGTTGCTTCAGTTTTTTGTCCGACGTGGGTATTCCAAGTCATAGATTTGGATCCAATCCTCGTTGTTAGCGATTGTTTAGGATGATCAGGTTTCCTTTTGTTGATGTCGGGTTTAGTTCAGTATAAAGTGCACCTAATTAACGTTATGTGCAAAGTTTTACTACGCCTTCTTGTTGTGTGAACTATGCTCATTCATGTTTGTATAAGGACTTTTACAGTTACGAAGTTCCAGACGTCTGTGCTACGGTCCAGCTCATTGGTATAAAATTCTACGTTTCGACTTACTTCTAGTATTCGGTTCGTTTTGTTATACGAGGCTTAGTCAGTTGAGTGTTGGTGCCGGGATATGTCAGATATGTAGCTTTCGTCGCTACATGAGCAGGGTTCTGTGTCATGTCGACAGCCTCGTTGCTCAGAATTGATAGTTCAGATTTAGGACTTGTGTATACTCGTCGAAGTCGAGACTTTGGTTGTCGATTGCCCGACTACAACATGAAACCAAGCGTAACTCTACTGCTGTTCAAGGGTGTGACGTCTAATGATGTCAATGCTGTGAGTTGACATTGCCAGGTTTGCGGTCTCGTAGTTCAGCTTGGGTTCTAGATGTTCAGGTTGCAGATCGACGTTGATTCTGCTTGGTTCTAGACGTTCCGTTTACGTTTATGTCTCAATCATAGAGTTTTATTTCTGAGTTGTAGTGTTTTCATTTTCAGTATTACATAGAGTCTTATTCTGAACATTAGTCAGTCTTATTGTCTGATTTCAGTGTAGTTCTACATTGTTGAGGTTCATTTCAGATTAAGTTTTCTTACTTTATTACAACCCTAAGTGTACTAAGATCTTAATACTATAATAGGTGTCTTACTACTTATACTCTAGAGTTTTATTACGTAAATCTCTAGTTTGTGAACATAGAGTTATCATACTACTGGTGGTGAGACATAGTACGGTTCTCCATTTTTTCCTTCACCCTAATTTTCGGTGTCTCGGACAACACTATCGCATCTCAAACCTAAACCAGTTTTCTCTTACACCCGACGTCTTCTTTGCCTGTACTGACCTATCTAGCGTCGAGAATGCCCACCCCCGTCTCCTTCGACAGCAAGGTGACAATCTCGGAAAGGAGGATGACGCCATTCAAACCAACAGTCGGATATATTTGACATGCATCTTTGTTTGTGTGATCCGCAGGTGCGTCGAAGAGCCCGTTGCTTTGGTCGCAAGTCCTTACTCTCCACTCCAGAATACCTCCTAGTACAAACGGGCCGAGACGTATTGACGCGTCGCGGCAAAGTGTGTCGGCGCCGAGTGTGTCGCGTCTGTCTCCGCGCCTGGACCGGGTCGTGGCCTCCCACCTAGGACGACGACACTTCGTAAAGGAGACTTAGGTGTCAGACAAGATGATTTCTGCTCTTCGAGACTTTGTTCGATAATCATGAGACCGCAACACTTAGCCGTCGCAAATTGTGCGCAGCGAACAACGCTGCAATGGAAGGTTTCTAATGCGTCTGTCGCCGTCGACACTCTATAGTGAAAACGATCGATACACGGGAGACCCCGAGTCGTGGCGGAGTCAGCCCCCCTCGCGCCCACCCGAAATCCGGAGACACTATCAGTTCAATGGGAGGGAGACGCTTCCCCTACGTGAGTGACCTCGACAAGACTCCCTCCCTCGGAGGGTCGGGACGTTGGGAGAAAACTCAGAAGGGGAGGCTACCAGTCTGAAGTGGGGGGCTAGGCCTTGGCCCTGCGACGCCAGACCCTACCTTATGTGAGCGAGACGTTGGGAGGAGGAGTGGGGTCGTCGGAGGACGGCGACGTCGCGACACACTGTCCCCTGGAGGAGACTCGACCCCCAAAAGGGGAGGCAGGGGAGGGAGGTTTTCTCCGACGCTACGAGGAGGCGAGGTTGACCCGACAGGCAACGGGGGGGCGGTTGTCTCCTCACCACGACGACAGCGACTCGGAGCAGCGACAACCACGGACAGTGACTCGAGTCAGAGAAGCCTCCTCGCCTCCTCCCCTGAAAAAAAATTCGGCCCGCGGCGTGCGTTTCCTGACCGAGCAGGGTGCAACGGCAATAAGAGACCTGAGCTGACGTTAGCTCGTCTACCGACGTCTGGGCCAAACGCCCAGTTCCACCGCATCCTACTGTCCAAAGATGTCGCTGAGCTGCCGAGCATAGCAGGAGCAGACCGAGGGGAGTCTGGTCTCGCATCCACAAGACCCGCGCAAAAAATCCCCCACAGTTAAGTACGACATCAAGAGTGGCCGGAGCTCGAGTCGAGGACACCTCGGTGTCACTCTTACGTTCATCGCTTTGCGGAATCACGACCCCTCGGCACTCCCCTCCCGGGGCTCCCTGGTCCGCAATCCGAACCACCTTAACGGCCCATAACTTGTGCCACCGGCAACGGTCTCCTTGGACGAACCCGTCGCGACGACGACGTCCCCGGCGACAGGGTCGGGAGCCTCCAAAGGAGAGGAGCGGTCCGACGGGAGGTCCGAGAGGAGCTGGGTCGACACCCCCCAACTACCTCCCCACCCCCCGAGGACCTCGCGGGCCTCGGAGAACTGGCCCGCAGGTACGAGAGACCGAGACCCTGTAGGGGGACGTAAGACTTCCGGTCTGGAAGGAGCGTCGGAGGCATCACCGACCTGTACGCGAGACGTCGGAGCCGCGAGTCTAGCGACAGGACCTTCCATTGTAGAACCCCCCACGCTCCTCTGAGGCGCGCTCAGCCCGCGAGCTACGTGGCAACCTCCCGGGGCCCGGAAATGCTGCGTATATTTCTGTATATGTTTTTGAAAATCTAGTGTATTCATCATTTTCCTACACATTTATTGACTGGTGTCTCTAACCTGCAAGTTGCTCTTTAAACCGCGCTGTAGTGGAAATGCGCCATTAGTCTTTATTTTGAAATATTAAGTCTTTATTTTGAGATACTAAGTCTTCATTTTGGAAATATTAAGTCTTTATTTTGATATTTTCAAGAGAAGCTCATGTTATTGAAAGTTAAAGGGCAGACAATATTGATAAGTGCTTTCACCACAGTTTGAACCATTCCTTTTACAACAGACACTTTGTCTTGGTGGAAGCAATACAATCATCTTTAAATCAGTTCATATTGAAATCAACATGACAGGTTTCCTTTTGCAATGATGACCTGCTCGCTGCACTTCATCCCTTCCTTACAGTCCCAGGAGTGACTCTTTCTTACCCTTCGGAGTTTTCTTCCAGGTTCAGTTTTCTCTCCACGGCCTTCAGAGCGGCTGCCAGCGAAGTGCTGGTCTGATCCAGTCTCTGCTGAACCACCTCAGTCCCAGAGGACGAGTCGGGGGCCGGACCCGGAACCACCGCACACACCTGAGGTCTCACTGCTGCCAGAGAGGGGCTCTGAGGGGCCGGGCGGGCCGGGGAGCATGGAGCCAGGGACCCGTGAGAGGGGGGGGGCGGAGCCAGGGACCCGTGAGAGGGAGAGCACGGAGAGGTGAAGGCCACACTCTGAACCACACTGACGGTCACAGATTGAGAGGAGAGTCCCGCTGCTGAGGAGACAACGGCAGGTCAAATACTGACACGTTCAACAGTACACACAAACACAAGTCCAAAATTAAGAGAAATAAAGTCACAAATTGAGCCTAAGTCAAGATCATTAAGTACTAAATCAAAAGCAACAATCCCTCTACACAAAAAAATCTAAGTCAATAACTTCAAGTTTAAATTCAAGTCTAACACCAAGAGCAACATGTCACAAATCAACCCCAACCAAACAAGTTCCATATAAGTCCAACATTAGGAGCAACTAGTCCTAACTCCAAACCTACAAATCCCAAGTATAGACAAATGGAGTCCCGAATCATGTCCAATGTCAAGTGCAAGAAGTACCAAGTTGAGTCTTACTCCACAAGTCCCAAATTAAGCCCAACGTCAACAGTAATAAAGTCTTATGTCTAACATCAAGAGCAACAAGTCAAAAAACAAGTGCAACCCAAAAGGTTCCATATTAAGTCCAAGGTTAGGAGCAACAAGTCCTAACAAATCCTACTAGTCCAAAGAAAAAACCAACAGTTCCCAAATCAAGTCCAATGTCAAGAGCAACAGTTCCAAAAATAAGACCTAACATTTCTAAGTAAGGACAAACATATTCCTGAATAATGTCCAATGTCAAGTGCAACACGTCCCAGGTCAAGTCCCATATTATAAGTTGCAAATCAAGTCCAAAGCCAAAAACAATAGTCCCAAATCAAGTCAACTGCAACCAGTCCCAAATGATGTCTATCATCGAAAGCAATAATGTCCCAAGTCAAGTCCAGCTTCAAGAGCAACGAGTCCCAAATCAAGTGTAATACAACACATTCCAAAATCAAGTCCAAACTCAAGATCAACAAGTACGAACTCAAGATCAACAAGTCCAAACTCAAGATCAACAAGTACGAACTCAAGATCAACAAGTCCAAACTCAAGATCAACAAGTACGAACTCAAGATCAACAAGTCCAAACTCAAGATCAACAAGTACGAACTCAAGATCACAAGTCCAAACTCAAGTCAGAGTAACTACTACCAAATAAAGTCCAACATCAACAGAGGTAAAGTCATACATCTATTTAGAAGAAAACCTTAAATCAAAAGTCAGAAATCAAAAAGTCCAACATCAAGAGCAACAAGTCCCAAGTCAAGTCTAACATAAAGAGCCAAACATTGTTGGGATTCACATGATTCAAGAAATGTAACCTCCAAAGTATGGGGAATAATGAGATGTTGATGCATTGAATTAAACAATTGTTATCTGAAAAAATGAAACATGCATGAAGTAGAATGAAGTTGGATTCAAAAAGCTTACAGAGCTCTGTTTGATAGTGTGTGTTTAGAGTTTGGTTCAGTTGAGCAGGAGGTCTTTACTTGAGAATCTACTTTACTCAAGAGGAGTGCTCGTTCCACTGTTGAGAATTTTCCTATCGGTAGTTTGTGTTGTCAGTCTCTTACCCTGTGCGGCCAGCAGACTGTGGCGGACCGGCTTCGGGGCGACGGCAGGTCTGGGAGAGAGGGGAGGTCTGATGGAGGATCCTGTTGCCGGGCTGGCAGGCCTCTCCAGCCGGGCCTCACTGATCCTCAGGCTGAGCTGGTCCTGGTCCTGGCACTGGGAGGGGGGCCTGCTGCTGCGGGACTCTGAATCCAGCCTCTCTCTGCTGGGGGAGCCTTCTCCCTGCTCCTTGTCTTTTGGCTTGTGCCGGCGTTTCACCGTGTCCGACTCCTTCAGATTAAACTCTGGCAGCTCTGAGTCCTTGGCTGCTTGTGCCTCTGGGGGCTCCAGCACCGCCTCAGCTCGGGGGGGAGCGGGGGCTTTAGGCCTCTGTTTGATAGTCAAGTTACCCTCCTCTGCGAAGGGGATGCACTCACTGGAGCTGTTCTGAGGGGAGGAGGAGCCCTCCAGCCTGCAACTTTTTGAGTCTTCCTCCTCCGTGTCAGACTTCACCCCCCGATCCGGCACCGGGACGCTGCGGGTCTGGGATGGAATACACTCGCTCTGCACCCTCCTCCTCACCCCCGCAGCCTCCTGCCCTGCAGCGCTGTGTGCAGGGGAAGCCTCCTCTGAGCTGGGGGTTTTCCCCTCCGTCCTGCCCTCCAAAGAGGCTGCGATGCTCCTCACGCTCACTGGGCTGTCCGTTGCCCCCCCGCCAACAGAGGACGTGGTGCTGCTGTCGCTGAGCTCGTCGCTGTTGGTGCTGCTCACTGAGCTCAGTCTCTTCGGAGGCGGAGGAGGGGGACCTTTTTTACGGGCGCGCACCGCAAAGGACTGGCTGCGTCCCACGTTGCCGTTCTTCTCTGGACTCGACTGCAATCGAGCCAGATGGCTGCGACCCGGTTTGCGGGTCAAGGTGGCGTAGGATGACAGGTTTCTACAGCGACTCGACGGCTCGTACTCGTCCTCGTCTGGCTCCCCATCAGACAGAGCGTAGCGTGTTTGGGCGCGTTTTTTAGGGGGTGTCAATGTCATGCTGTAGTTCTCCGGCCTCGAGCTCAAGTCTGTGGAGCCACAGTGAGAATGCAAGTAGCTGAAACCCTTCAGTGCTGGGGAGCCGTGAGGGGAGGGGCCCCGAGGGGACCCAGGCAGTTTAGGCTTGGCTGGAATTGCCGGGTACTTGAACACGGTGGCCGTGCCCAGAGGAACCTGCTTGGGCAGCGTCTGCTGCTGCAGGGGCCGCTGGTCCCAGCCCTCGGGGAGGTTCCTCTCCCTCGCCAGGCTGCCCTCCAGGCTCTCCTGCGACCAGCTGTGGGGGTTGATGGAGGCGGTGGGGGGCTCCTGGGAGCGCCCGGAGCCTCTGGACCGGGCGTCCATGCTCTCCTGGCTCTGGGACATCCCCACTGCATTCTTGAAGGCCAGACCTTCCTCGCAGCCTCCGTAGTGGCTGGACATGGCGCTCTGCAGCTCGGCGCTCAGCTCGCTGTCCTGGAAGGTAAGCATCTTGGGGGTGCGAGGAGACTCCGCCGCAGAGTCGGGCGGCTCGATGGCCACCAGTTGGAGGGCCCCGGGGCCTTTACGACGCAGCGTGCCTTGGCCTGATTCCGCCTGGAGGATTGCTCGGTGGATGTCACACAGCTTCTTCACCGCCAGCATCAGTTTCTTTTGGTGGCCTGGTGGGAAAATACAACCATGATATTAAAGTAAGAAAACACTGTTTTCAACAACCATATGTACCTGCTGACCATAAGACCTCAACAAATACTCTATTGAGTTTATGACAGAATAAAAAGTGTCCTCACCCAGTTTGGTGATGCCGATCTCCTGCAGATCCTCCCATGTGAGGTCTTTGACGATGCTGATGGAGTCGTAGCCGTTTTCAGAGAGCTTCCTTTGGTACTGGGGGAGGCCGATGGCACTGAGCCACTCACCCAGGTCCGACTGAGAGGAGGAACAGATCAGCCAGTATCAGCATTAGGAACACACCAGTATACACAAGTGGAGGAAGAATAACTCAGATCTTTCATAAAGTTAAAGTAGCAAGTTTAAATTGTAAAATGACTTAAGGGTAATCTCCCATTTCAGAATCATATATATTATATTAATGGGTATGTATTACAGGTGGAGCTTATTTGAATTACTTAATTTGCTGTTGCTGAATTACTTAACCTACAATTATCACTAATAAACTGAATTTATAAAGTAACTAAAGCTGCCAGATAAATGAAGTGGAGTAGAAGTACAACGTAGCATCAAATGAAAATACTCATGTAAAGTACAACTACCTCAAAATGATCTTTAGTAGCATTATAACATTAATCATACATAGTATACAGTCACAAGGTGAGGAAGTCACGCAGCAGGAAGCTGTTTCTTACTGGGATGTACTCCGGCAGCCACTCTGGGATGTTCAGGTTGTTGATCTCGATGGAGATTTTCTTGCGGTGTCCGGGTTTGGTCACTCCGATGGCGGTCAGATCCTGAGGACAAAACAACACAAAGGACATCTGATGAAGGCTGCACAGCTAACCAGGTCCTATTATACTGTGAAGCACCAGAGAGCATCCTTATTCACCTCCGGAGTCATCCTGCTGATGGTGGGAACATCATAACCGTTATTTATGAAGTTCCCGATGTACTGCTCCAGCTGGAAGTCACGCAGCCACTGATAGATGGCCTCTGCATCCTGCAACACACACAGGGGACAAACACACTGATGAGGGGGGGAAACAGTATATTATCTGTTTTATAACCATCTCTTAAGTCTATGATGGAAAAGACAAATGTAATGGAAGACATGGAAGGGAAAAGAAATAAAAAAAACAGATGTGAAAGTAGATTAGGAAATGTATTTCAAAACAAGTGGTAATTCTCTGAGTATAAAGTATTTAATAGGGTTAAATCTACAAGAAAAAAACTCTAATATTTGAGAATATAATGTCATAAATTGTGCGAGAAAAGAATCAACATAAATTATCTTCAATTAACTCTGACTAAAGTGCTTAATTTACACATTTATTTTGCTAATTAACAGGAAATAAACAAGGATATTTTAGGTGGTACATTTATAGAAAAAAACATTCTGAGATTATAAAGTCATATATTTGCAAGAAATAAAAATGAAATTCTCTTAGATTGAAATAATTCATTTACAAGAAAAAACTAATAAAAAGAATAAATACATTTGTACGAAAAACCCATACAACCCCTACAAATGTTTTCTTGAATCACAAATGTACACTTTTGACAACAACTTTTATTTGCATCCCAGTTCTAATTTGAGTCAACAGAAAATGATTATTAACACAATCACCCCAGCCACAAACTGTTCTGTCTGCTGCCGTCAGGCAGGCGGTACCGCAGCACCCGGACTAAACCACCAGACCTCGGGACAGGTTTTCATACCCACAGGCCAGAAGTACTATTAAACCGCCTTGAACCTCTGTTAAGAGGTTTCCAATGTCATGGCCATGTTCTCACTGATCATAATTCCATTGTTGTGAGGCCTACTAGAATCAGGATTTAACTTCGCTCAATGTCCACAAAATCACACTTGGTTCGTCATTACAGCAATATCTCTGTATAGTGTGAGTATTCACTCTCTGTCCTAAACGACCTTGTTGGTGCTCACTGCCAGGCTCCTGCCCCCTCTCCCTACTGAGCCCACTGCGCTCGGAATCCATTGTCAGCTCAGCCCACTCTGTTCTGATGAGTCCCACCACCGTTACAGCGAGGAAGCATCCAGGTTTATGTGTTGCAATGGCCGTTTGTTAGCAACACAGAAAAAGACACCAGTTAAATGACAAGACAGATGAGAATGCGCCTGGGGTCTGGGTGCCGTGTTGGCGGGACGTTGCGCGGTGCTCGCTGCTACGGCCGCTTTGAGGCTCCGAGGAGCGGACAGTGTGAAAGCTGTAAATTACTGGTGTGCCGTTTTCCAGGATTTGCTGGCATGGGGTCTGCGAGACAGCGCAAAAGCCCACTGTTCGAAAATGGGGGGGAAAGCCATTCCAATGACAGTCTTCTGAAATATTTGTTTGACATTCGTCCGAATATTTCTCGGTGTCTGCCATCGTACAGTGCAGCGGCTGCATTCTTCACTTTACGCACTGGTA